TTAGATGCCATTAATAATTAAGGATCTAAATATTGCTAGATCTCAGATGCTTCCAGAGTAGACCATGAAACAAGATTCTTATTTCATTTTGAGAGGGAAGACAGATAACAGCTTAACTTTTTAGTGTTTTTTGTTTGACTTATCTTTTAATTCAAGATTTGTTATGTCTATTACCCCATTGAATCCTTGTGGAGGTACTGAGGTACATCTTATTAACTTTGGGTTTTTTTGTTGTTGTTTAATAAATGAGATTGTTGCGTAGAGAAGAACCTGCCCAAGTTTGAAGACTTAATACATTGCAGAGCTTAAACTTAAAGAACTGTCTTACTGCAAGAAAATTTTTTCTTCTCTTTTCTTTCTTTTTGGTATAGCATCCTGTAACTGAAGTCCATAGCAAGCTTCCAAACTATAAGCCCAAATCTCTCCCTTTTCAATTAGTTTCTAATCCTCAAGGTCATTTGTATATATTCATTTAGCCCACTAGAGGTCAGTATTGGGTTGATAAAGACAGAAGCCTTTGACTTGATTCACAGAATTTTAACTCTTTGAGCCTTACTGCTAGGTACCCTAGGAAGTTGTTTCACAATAAAACTTTATTGAATAAGGTATGTAATGACAGTTGTGAAAGTTTGAATAGCTACATTTTTAGGTGGATAATTCAGATCAGGTAATTCTTAAGGGTTTTCCCCCCTCTTTGAATAGGTAGGAGAAAATCCAAATCATGTGTCTTAAGATATTCCTCATCTTTTATTGGGCCAAACCTCATCCTCTTATGGATTTATTTATTATCTATTACCTTTATATAGTAAACATTTATCTGAGTTTACCGTACGTGTCGCTGTGTCTGGGCTTGGGGGATTCTAAGAATGGCAAAGTAAGTCTCCTATCCTCAAAAATAGAAGATTTACACACTGAATTGCTGTACTGTCATTTTTCTACATGAACATCTGATAGGTTTACTGAATTCATCTTTTCTCCTCTTCTTTCAACTTATTATTCCCCCATTCCTATTGTTTGAATGGAACTTGGAGTTATTCTTATTTCCATCCCCTTTTCCACATACATTAAAACATTCAAATTAAAACATTCAAATTAATGTTTTATTACAATTTTATAAAATTAATTAAAACGTTAAAATCAGTAAATTCTGTTGATTCTGCTTCTTCTGTGTCTGCCGCTACCTTAATTCAAACCTTCATCATTGTTGTTACTCATTTAGTGATCTTTACTGGTTTCCCTGTTTCTAGTCTTTATCTTCTCCCAGTTGACCGTTTCTCTACTCCTAGAGGATTTGCCTCAGTTATAAAGCTGATCCTGTTCTTCCCCTGGTGTTTCTTCTTCTGTTTCTCCATTGCCTACTAGCTAACCTTGAAACTGCTTTATATGGCATCTTTAACTTTATCTCCTGTTAGTCCTAAAAACCTATTTTCTCATATAATATTCCGTATGCCTTGGATGGATAGTGTTATTTCACATGTAGAGGTCTTTTCACATGTGGTTCCTTTTTTTCTGGAATGGTTACCCTTTCTTTTTACCTCCCTTTGGAAAAATCATATTCGTCTTTTAAGAGCATAGTTTGCTACTTCTTCCTCTGTGAAGCTTTTCCTGAAACCCCTCCAAGGGAAGATATGATTATTTTTTCCTTTGTCCAGTTATTGCACCTGCATTTATTTTTATTATTATACTCATTGCACTGAATCTGAGCCACTGACTTGCCTGTCTTATTTCTCATAGTAGAATAATATGCAGTTCAAGAGTCAGAAAATCCATCTTATTTTTTGTATACCCAATACTCGGTGCAATGTCTGGGGCCAAGTTGATATACAGTATGTTTTTGACTAAACATAGGGAAACAGAGAGAAAGCACTGAGTTAGAACAGTGAGAGGAAGCTTCCTAAAGGAAGAAGAATTTTAGTTAGGTTTTAGAGCAAAGAGTGCATACAAGCAGGGAGACGTCATCTGGTAGAGAAATGGTGTAGACAAAGGTATGATAGTGGAAATATTGCTAGTATATTATGAGGTAGAGTCTGATCCAAGTAGAAGAGTCATGTTGGAGAGATACATGGGAAAATTAGGTTCAGTTTCCATTGTGGTGGAGTCTAGGTGATAGATTATGGAGTTTGGATTTGTACTTGTTTAAAAATTTCCCCCCATTTTCCCTCATGCTTAATTGATGTGATGAATAATGTGGCTTAAGAAGGGCCTAGCCATAATATGCAGGGGAACTGAAATGAGAAGGCAGTAAGTTCCACTTTAAGTATGTTGGAATTAAAGTGATGGTAGAACACAGAGTAGTAATAGGAAACTAGAAATATGCTGTTGGATCTTGGGAGAGTAGAGAGAGTGGTGGAAGAACAGGGACTGAGGGATACATTTTGCTAACTTTCAATATGTTAGGAGACCAGAGAATAACATGTATGAGGGAGTCTTGAGGAAGAGGTGGTTAAATTTGAAGATTGTTCACAAAGAGAATGAAGCTAAGAAAAATAAAGTGCCTAAATGCCTTCTAAGGTCTAGTTGTGTGCTTGGTACCCTGTCACCCCCAATTCAACTAGGCAGCAGAAATCAGTCAGCTGCTCCTTTGGCTCATGATTGTAAAGGTTGTCTTTGGAAGAATAGAATTAATGGTCCTGGTAAGATGGCTTAGCATGTTAGAAAAGAGCCCTGAAGAGCTTTTATTGGTTTTTTTTTTTCCATAGATTTTCATGACACATTTTAATTTTAAATATGTATTACGTGTATTTACATATTTTTATCTATATTTACTCTTTTCCGCTTCCTGTCAATCCCATAACATATGTTTTGAATAGACGGTAGTTTTCACTTGCTTCATAGTGGATAGTGTCAGAGTATTTCATCGTTCAGTGTTTCCAACGTGGCCAGTTCCTGTTTGGTAGATCTGCCCTGACTGCTCCATTATACACCAGAGAAGCCTTGGTATTTCTGAAAGAGACCCCACGTTCTGATAAAGTCTTGGAATAAAACTTGCAATGCTCAGATTTCTCGCATGGGGTTTGCAATTTTAATTTGCTGATTTGGCCTAAACTACTGTGTGCCCCTTCAGATTGGTGGGTAAACCAGACACAACTGAGAAGAACAAATCATAGACGACCTAAAATTATTTCCATAGGATGCTTTCAGATTTGTAACATTGCAAGTGTAAATGATAGTACTCAAGTGTGGCTCCTCCTGATTGCTTTTGGTACACTGGTAGTATTTTATTGATTGTGAAAGAAAAATCTTTACCTTCAGATTCAATAAAATAAGGCCAAATTATGACAGCTTTTAGTTTTGCTGTACTGAGAGAGAGGATAGAGTTAAGGGACAAGTGATCACTCTCAAGCTGAGGGCTTGCTTTTTAAAATATGAAAGGTTTAGCTCTCCAAAGTCCTTGACCCCTTTTTGTGTGGTTTGCATTGAAAGCAAGTGGGGAAGAATTTACTTTTGAGAGGAATAGAAAGGATATTCTGTCTAATTTGGGGTCTCAAATGCTTGGAGGATATGTGTGTCTTGTGTACAAACATAAATTCAATGTGTTTGTGTACCTTCTCTATCTCGGTCTGTTACTGAAGCCATGTATTTTGTGTAAGTCAAACCAAAATATCAGTGAGTACTGTGCAGAGAGACAAGTTAGTTTCCATTGATTCAAATCTCTGGAATGTAGCTTCTTTTCATTTTCTTGGCAGAAACTAGCTCACATAGTTCAAGTTTTTCTCTGTCCTGTTGTAATTGTCTCATTTAACCAGTACCTGGACCAACACCTTTTACTTAATATTTATCTTGAATTCCTTACTCTCATTCAGAATATTTGGGATGATTATTTTCTCCTGTACTGAGTTCTTTTTGTCAGGAATAGAAATGTTGTCTATTGATTAAGGAATGTATATTCCCAGAGGCCACATTTTTAAAGCTTTGCAGCTTGGGATAATGCTTTGTTTTTTTTAAAGGAAAGTTCTGTTGCGAAATACTTTTGGAACCTGCTGGATTAGACCATATTAAAGAAATTTCCTTAAAATAGGGCTTTGGATTTTTATTCTGCTAATTGTGTGTTTGCAAGAAGCCTTGTACGACATACGCATACAGTGTTTCCTGTTTACAGACCACAGAACTCTCTTTTGGGGGAAACATTTTATCCTGCTTTGAAGGACTGTTGTTGTAGTAGGAAGATCGCTGGGGTGGAATTTAGGAAATCACATTTTGGGCTTCTGATTCACCATGCCTGGCCTTGTGGCCTCTAACAAATCCTTTGTCTTCCAGCCTGTTTCCTGAATGGTGTCTAAAGTTGCTACCAGCTCTAATATTTTGGTTTAACTTCTCCTGTTGACTCTGTATAGTCACACTTTCCACTTCCTTGGATCTATGGAAACCACACCATCATTTGAGTCCATTTTATTAAGCTGAGGAGATCATACTTTTCTATAAAAGTTTAGAAAAAGAAGTGCTTAAAACTCTGTTTTCCACAGACTAAGGTCATGAAATCCTGTTGGATTCATTAGTTCAAATCACTCTGTATAAGAAATTTCATTCTCCTGATTCAATTTATTGGTCTCTTATATCTACATAACTGTTTTTGAGAGTTCCCTAAGCTTAAAGTCTCCTGTTCCTCTCCTAAGCATAGTGGCTCTAGTATAGCACTTATCTTTTAAGAGATAAATATTTAGTCATTTGCACTAATCTCTTGGCTACTTAGGTGAAAATGAGTAGATTTAATTTTTGAGGTGATTTAGTGTGTGTATTTGGAAAGCCTTCTTGATGGTATTGACTGATTATCTTTTATTCTATGGAAACCGGGAAAATGAATTAAGATGGATAACTCCAGGGTTAAAAATGTATACATTAATATGCTTGGTTTTATTTCTGGGACTAAAACTACAAATTAAGGCATTTTGTTGTATAGTCTTTAAGATACCAGTCAGTTAACAATAAGAAGGTCTTCGAATGCTCAATTGTTTTATTTCTTTGTTTTTTTGTTTGTGTCTGTGTATGTGTTTCTGTCCTAGGCCCAACAACAAAGAAACCTGGATAACATCATCTTGCAACAACCCAGAATAGGTAGCAAGAGAAAATTTAAGAAAGATGCATATACGATTTTTGATACAGAGATAGAAAGCACTAGCCCCAAGTCTGAACAAGATTCAGGAATCCTGGACGTTGAAGATGAGGAAGATGATGAAGAGGTAACTGACATATGAACTGGAGACGTGAACCTGTTGTTCTGTTTAAATAGAGTATGTTTGAGACATGATGAGTAACTTATCCATATGATTTAGCTTGTGTGATCTTCTGGATATTAGATACCATTTTAAATACAATATGGTCCTCTATTTAAGGAAATTGAAGATGCACAAAAATATCTTGGATTCTATTTCTTTAGATTTTAACTATACTCACCCATTTTCCCCCTAAGTTTCAGGGTTTTGGGATTGTATACTGATGGGGTGCTACATTAAGGTAGACTTCACCTGACCTAGAGAAAGATACCTAGATGACCTCCCCTGAAACGGGAACAGAGTTACTTGAGACAAATAAAAGATGTTACTTTAAACAGTAGGGAGTAAACAAAGAGATTTCTTAGCCTTGAGAAATGGTTTAGACTGAAAATATTAAAAGGTTCCAGAAAATTAAGAATACATTTCTGGAGGGAATAAGTGTATGAGTGATTATAGGGAATCTGGGAATTTAATGATGTATCCAGCACCTCTTAGTTCTGTGACACTTTCAGGTAAAGAATAAGATCAAGTGGCTGAACTGGTATAGTTTTTTATATCCTTCTTTGTTGTTGGAAGTATATTTAATGTATTTTTAAAAATAAAACTACTGTGACATTTGAGATTTCCAGTTAAAATGTTTTTTAAAGTACGTATCATTTGCATAAACTGGATCAGTTCATTTGTGAGTGTGGTGGTGAGGAAGGGGCGTGAGCTTTGGGGAGTTACAGACTGCGTTCAGATTCTGGCTTTGCCACTTTATTTTATTTTACTTTTAAAAATTATCATTAATGATCA